CAGTGATAGTTTCTCAGGCTTTCTTTGTTCTCTTTGAATAGTACTAGCCAGGTATCCTGAAGAACGTCTCCAGATCTGGGTTTTTCTGATGTTTTTCTCATGATAGGACCTAGATTATGCATAGCTTTTTGGAACAAGCAACAGAAGTGATATGTCTCATCATATCAGAATATGTCTCCAAATTTTGTAAACTATTTTAGTTAATCATGTCTGAATGGAGTGGAGACAGCAGGACCCATCCAACTTCAGAACAGACTGAAGTAGATCAGCCAGTATGGGCAATCAGGAGAGACAACATGAGGCCAGCAATGGAGCTCCATCTCTTCCAAATCATCTGAGTTAAGAGTCAAGAGACAAAGGTTCTCTTCTGAGCTCACCCACTAATTAGGCTTTAGGGAAGCCAAATGTAGTCTTCTAGTGTTAGTTTTTTCACCTGTACAATGTAGAAGTTGATATCTGAGCCCATTTCCAGTCCTGAAATTATGTGATTCTATAACTCTGGAGTAGGTTTTCATTACTCAAATATTACCCACAGTTCCATTTCCTAAGAGAAATATAATGCTAAGCAAGACACCACCAAAATGTCTGGGTTTCTGCAACAGGGGTTGGCAGGGAGGCTGCTCTGATTCACTATGTGGCATTTATGCCACTTGTATCCTAGGAATATCAGGCGCCTGGCAGGAAGCAAACTAATTACACAAACTAAGAAAAAAATTCAACTCATTCATTCATCTTTGTTCCTAGGGCTCACTATTCTTCCTTCCATTACAATGGACTAAGAATTAAATGACATAATTTGTTTTTGAAATGTCAGAAGGAATACACATTTTAGTACTTTAAAAAATCTTTTAATGTTGACCCTTCTCGTAAATCTTACCGGAAGTAAATATGAGTGGTTTGCATTGTTGGATACTCTAAGTCGCCAATAGTTTGTACAGAGCCTGTGATTGCAAAACGACAAACATTTCACAATAGTGGAAACCTCTAATTAACCATAATACATGACAGGGTGGATTTGTTTTAAATACATGACTTAGTAATGCCTGTTGCTTTAAGATCATAAACCGTGAGATTCTCTATTGAGGTGAGATAGGTAGGCTGCAAATGGTTTAGCAAAATACTTTTCTACCTTTGAATGTTTAGTCTGACCCAGAACATTCTACTAATATTGGATCAGGCTCTCATCTGATGTAATTTGCCTGTGGGAATTGTATTGGCTGTGAAACTAGCTCCACTTCGTAGTTGGTGTTAAAAAAAAGAAAAAAAAAAAAAGCAGCAGCACAATTCTTTGGTGCGTTTCGAATGACTGAAACTAGGTTCCTAGGCACTGAGACAAGAAAGAATGTCAAACAGGACCTTTAATGTGTCCTTATATTTAAACATCAGACCTAACAGAAAACCCTGAAGCTTTATACAATGATTGGAGTCTTGTAAGAGACTAATTAATGTGTTGTCAGGTGAATGGTTGGCCTGGCACTTGAGCTGTTCTGAAAGACGCAAGAGGGTTCAGGTACCGCCTAGGAAGAATAGAAGCAGTTGTAGCAAGTGATTCAGTGGCCTGCCTGAAAGGGACATGTAAAGGCAGCTGTGTCTGGTGTGCCGGCTTTTCAGACTCACTTGATAATGCTAGTGTCAGTTTCAACTGAAGCGTGTGCCAGATTTCAGATAGCTTGTGCTGGCGTTTCAGAGCAGTTAATTGTGAAACTTGAGAAGAAAATGGGCGCATTCTTCCTAAGATGGCTATTCAAATACAATCTCCTTCGCCCCCAAGAGCTCTCTGGGATTCACTTTTGTTCTGTTTCCACATAAAATGTGTGAGGAACACTGAGCCTTTTCCCCTTGGCAGCTCCTATATTACCATCTTTGCTGGGACTGCTTTGCCTTGTTACAATGTGCCCCGTGTATTAAAATGAAATTGTCACTGCTGGGTGGTGCAGCATAACATGGTTTGACACTAAGTGCCAGCAGCTACAGAAAACAGACTTTTATTGCATTTATTCTTTCAGAGATGAGAGTCTCTTAAGGCTCACAGCAGACATTCACTTAGTTAAATCTGAATGAACCCAACGTGAACAATCTATGCTGCTGCTGCTGCTGTCTTTGCGTTCACAGATACAGCCCCCATCCAGCTTGATATGGCTGTAAAACAGTGTTAAGATGATCATATGTAGAATTCAAAAGGGAAGACCTGAGACTTTCAAACCAGAACAAAAATATTTTAGGTGGGCGGAGCGGTTTAGCTACCTGGTTTTCTTCTTCAGCTTCCTCTCTATTCCCTAAAATATATCTGTAGAATTGACAAGCACACACATACTAACCCCCATCTAGGTCTACTCTTCATATAGAATTCCATATCATTTTATGACAAAGAGAAAGAATTTGATTTACAGGACTCTTGCAAGCAAATTTTGGATTCTTAACTGCCTTTTGTCTAGATGAGTACCCAGAGAGAGATTGAACAGGAAGGGGCTCTGGAGCATAAGTTTTTCATTCTGTAACTCTCCTGGAATAAAAATTCCATAAAGTAACATCTGTAGCAATTAAGGGCTTACATTTCTTCTCCCATTCATATCTCTTCTGGGAAGGAAGGTTATTTTCCCTGAGAGACAATAGATAGTAGATCCTGGGGGAAGAGAGAAAGAGCAGAATTAGAATTATTTTGTTCCTAGAAATGGAAATTTCCTACTTAAAAAAAAATTTTTTTGAAGACTTACAAAAAAGGTTCTACTGGAAAGAAAATTTGAAAGATTTAGGAAAATTGTACTTTGCTGTAGCTAAATATTTTGAATGGAGAAAGATTCATCTTGCCTTTCTTATTTAAATATCTTCTGATTTGGGGAAACTTGTGATGCAATAATAACCAAAATGGTATATTTATTTTTATTTATTGAAATTGCATATTATGTAGCTTAAAGATTTTTTTTTTTAATTTGACACCAAATTGATTTATTCTTAAGATTTTCTTCAAAATAATACTTATTTGGATCCACTGGGTCATCTGATAAAATGAATACTGACCTGTTAATGTTAAATTAGTTTCCTGCACTTTCTTGTTGTAGCAGGATCAGCTACATAAATAATGGGGCCCAATTAAAGATGACAATGCAGGACCTCTTGTTAAAAAATTATTAAAAATTTTAAAATGGTGACAACAGAGTTTAAACCAAGTTCAGGCTTATTCTAAGGGTGGGGCTCCATGGGAGAACACAGGTTTCATGCCGTTAAATCAGTCCTGCTTGGTTGTCGAAATTTGCCGTGTGCTTCAATACAGAAAGGTGATTGTCCCTCCTGTACTTCATAGGAGTGTGCATCTGAAAACACTTAAAAATTTTTGGAAAATAATTACATCTCTCCAATGGAACCTGCTCCTGATACCATCTCCACATTTGATAATACAGGTACAGATGCCTTGTCTGCATCTCCCAGTTTATCTCTAAGAGTTTCCCAGGTGAACCTTCCACTCAGTCACGTGGTCTGCTCCCCCTACCACGTTGTGTAAAGGACCCAAGCCCTCCCACCTGTGCAGCCCAGCTGCTGCCCTAATTACTTCTCCAAAGTCCTTTCCTGCCTTTTGTGCTTGCTTCTGTGTTTGCCTGGCTTCTGGGATTCCTCTCACATTAGAATCCTGTAGCTATAATAAATATGTATAACTTATTTGGCATCTGTTAACATATTTTTTCCTTATTTTGTTTCCTCAGCATGTAATATGGTCACATAATATGGTTCTGAAAACACACATAAAATTTCAACATAGGAAAATTTTACAACTGGCATCAGTGAGCTCCATTCCAAGAAAGCTCATATTAATAACATAGCAGAAAATCCAAAATTATACTTTGCCTTTTGGACAAATTTCACACATTTCATACACATTCTTTCATGTGTATTTGTGCTATTCCTTAAATTTATTTTTGCTTGCAGTGTACTGTTTGTAGGACTTAATTTCCTTTAATTAAAATCAATCTTTTACTTTGTATCATCCCCACCCAATTTTATAAAATAATAAAGGCCAGATATCATTTATTACTTAGAAAAATGCTACAAATACGACTGTACATAAGATATTGCAACACTGCCAAAATTGAGATTATGGTGGTATGGCTCAAAATGTTCATTCCTTAGATTGTATGTGAGATGCCAAAATTTGGCACAAGAACCCTAGTTCAGAAATATTGATATGTACTATGAAAAAAATAGGGGATTGTCCAAAATTCGAAATTAAGAAAGTATAGGACCTGAGATTTTTATATATATATGTTATATATATATAAATATATATATATATGATTTATATATGTATTTATATATATATAACATATATATATATAAATCCCATATATATATCCCATATGTAGGACCCCCAAATACTCTCTTTGGGTGTCTTTCACCCAGTACGTTTTCAATGAAAGCACGATGCTGATGAGACAGTACTGCTGTACTCACTCCTTTAGGCTTCAAGTGTTCAAATAAAAGACATCTCCTCAGCTTGTTTTGTGGAGTCCCTCAGTGGTAGAGCTTAGTTGTTGTATTATAAGCTTTAATTTTGGACAGGTGTCAGTTCAAATTCCAACTCTACCACTTATTGGAAAGGTAGTCTGTCCCTCTGAGCCTCAGTGCCTTCATGAATATGAAGGACAATAACAAAGCTTACCTTTCAGGCTGCTAATTTAGTCATTCAGCAGACATTTATTATGCACTTTCCATTGCCAGACGTCCTTGTGTGAATTAAGTAAAATAAAACCTCAGGGTTATCTCCAGGTGAGCACTCATCACAGAGCCATCCACATAGCTTTCAGTAGAGTGAAGAATACTTTGGGCAATGATGAGTTTGTGATGTTCTCCTATCAGACAAGTCACGGAGACAGTGGACAATTCGGGTCATTTTCTCAAAGCAAGCCTGTATGTAGCGTTCTCCTTTTCCTTTTCTTTTCTATTTCTTCTTCTTGGATATGCAGAACTTGATGAAAGTGTGTGATCCCCTGTTTACCTTCTTCTTCCAGAATGGAGTCTACTGAAAAATGTGAAGTGGTAATTCAACATTTTAATGGAAAATATCTGAAAACACCACCAGGCATCCCAGGTAAGAAATGCCATTAAGAAATCACTAAATAGTGTGTAGGAAGGCTTATTGCTTTATTAGAATGAGTACATAGTAAGGCCCTTGGTTGGTCACTGGGAGGGAAAGGTTTGCTTTTGTAAATGTGTGTTTTTTGATAGTATGGAGCAACTCATCTTTCTCAAAAGCTTCTTGGTGATTCTTCTTTGGCTGTTTTTTGATCTCTGCTGCTATTTTTAAAGTGGATTATGAAAAAAATAGCAAAGAATAGTTAAAGAATGCCCTTGAAGTGAAGAAAGTTTATGACTCATCATTGGTATTGAAATGCTGATGTCTGATCTGTAAAATATCTACACAGTGACATTCACAGTGGAGTCCATAGATTGATGCCAGTCCCCAAACATTTCTTACTAGTTGTATTAGTCCATTTCTGTTGATTATAACAAAATACCTGGACCTGGATAACTTGTAAGAAAACAAAATTTATTGCTTACAGTTTCTGAGGCTGGGAAGTCCGAAGTCCAAAGTCTAAGTAACACATCTTGGGAGGGTCTTCTTTGATTGTGGCTTTACAGCAATGCAGGGGTCTCATGTGTGAGAAAATGGCAGAGCAGAAAGATAGAGATTCATGTGCTCTCTTTTGAAAGCCCTGAGAAAAATGCCCACAATCACCATTAAACCACAACTTAATCACTTTTCCAAGGCCCCCCACCTTTCAATTACCATAATAGTATTTCCCACCCTCTTAACACTGTCACTGTGGGGACCAAGTCTCCAACACCTGGAACTTTGGAGGATACAATTTAAGATTCAATGAGTTTGGGGGGTGCGAGGAGCATCCAACCCACAGCACCAGTCTATGACAAGAAACATGCAGAAAGTAAGATTGAATGTTTAGAAACATTTATAGCAACTTGACATTGTCCTGAAATCTGAGTTTATTATTTTATATTTTACAAAAATATCAGTTACTGACAGACTGAACAGTTTTTAAAATACTGCCCATTCATCAGAGATAGTTTGAGAAGCACCAATCTAGACTATTCCAGTGCATTTCACATTTCCCAACACAAAATTCTTACGATTTTACACATTTCATAAAATGATATAACTTTATGCTATTAAGAGTTATATTCTACATAAAAGAGTTGAATATATCATGTGTATCAGGGCTACAAATGCTCCAACTTGATATTAATCTGCCAGTAGCATATAGGAAGGCATTTAATATTAGGTAAGTAAAATGTAAAATATATCTTATTCATGCATAAAAAAATTAAAGATTGAATGAAGTGCTGAACTAATAAAAATTACAATGAATAAAGAACTGTCTGACTAATTAATGTTGCTTTATTTGTTGCTCTTTTCTTTACGGTGATTCCCAGAGGAAAAAAGTGACTTCTTCAGGTGTACAGTATTTTCCTTTTTCCTTTTTAGGCTGGATTTCAGTAGTATTTGCCATACAATGCATCTACTATTTAAAACTCATTAGAAAGTTTAGGGGCTGGGCATTTCAGTTCCTTAAAATATATTGAGGTTATGTAGAAGGGGATCTGTGAACAAAAAGAGAAATATTTTTGTGGAGAGTCATGGGTCCCTTTATGACTTGGTTGGTTTGGGGAGGATGTCAAGAAAGCAGAAAGACCCTACAGACAGACATGTGCCTAATCTGAAAAATCTGAAATAGCCGATCGCTCGTTAATCAGTGAGTCAGCATATATTCGAGACTGTGCCTTGATTTGGTTAGCTCCCATGTATAATGTTCCCTTGAGAACTGACTTCATTATGATCCAATTGGAGACATATGGTGTTAAGGAAAGAGTTAGCAGTTTTCATCTCAGCATGTAAGTTGCCCTTGCACTTTAGGAGAAATACTTATTTCTTTTTTTCCTTTTAGCATAAACAGACATTTTAAGGCACTCTATTCAGACCCATCATTGAATAAAGGAGTTCTATTGTTAGTGGATTTTTCCCTTATTTTATCCAACAGATGCCTATCTATATAAAAGGCATTCAAACTAGGTGTGAATTATACGGTTATATAAAAATTTTCAAAAATCAACAAACTATGTAGAAATTATTGTTGACTCAAGTTTTAAAATAGACCTCAATTTTTTTAGGTTTCTTCCTTTTTGGAAAAAGACATATTGAAATTCTTCTTGATCTGATTGATTTGAAAGTATTTTATCTGGTTTTCCCCATAGAACATACTGCTGACTAATACAATTTAATGCCGAAAACTAAGAAAGTCACTGTAAATCCCCAAATATCTGGGCATCCTTCCTGAATAAGCAGGCTGTGATATTAACCTATCTAATATCATAGCTACACCCAATGGAAACATTGTGAATAGCAGGAACTTAGTTATGAGTTTCTCACTCACTTTTATCTCATGGGAGCAATAAAGGCAAAATAATTGTGCTCAGTTATAAAATTCTTAAGAGATAATATTATGCTTCTGGAATTTGCACTCAACATAATAAGATTAATACAATATTGATCATCATCAGTATTTGAATTTGCTTATTTTATGCATTACTTTGGAAGTCAGAGTTAATAAAGGCTTCAAATGCTAACTGAAGATATTAATTTTTGATACTTAAATTTGATGTGAAATAAAAGAGGGTGGAATACAAGATATGGGTATTTTGGAAGATAAAGTAGTAAAATGTCCTTGTGGGGTATAATAACTAAGTTATGACAGGTATAATCAAATTTGGGTAATCTCAGTCTGCCTTTATTGGTCCTCATTGCTTATTTTAGGGGGATAGTTGAAATCTTACTTTCAGAAATTTATATCTTAATTTAATATTCTATTCCATCTTTAAGACAGAGAGTAGAATATTACTATGAGTCCTGATATCAGATTGGAAGTGATTCCCATGACATTTTTAAAAGACATGACCAATTTCCGAACCTTTTTCAGTACTCTAGTGAACTTGTCCTTGCTTGTGGATGTAATAATTTAAACCAGGTATAATTGGTATAACCCTCTACAACTACAATAGAATTTTAAAATTTAGAAAATCTCAGTATTCTGCATTATCAAGATTTGTCATCTTTGATGGTTTCAATGCTTTGCTTTAAGATCATGTGGATGAGGGACCCACATGATCCAGTAATGACCTGAGATCCTCAGGCCCTAAGAAAGCTATTGAAAAGATTAAATAAGTCAGTCCTCTTCTTCTTATACTAGAGCCCTGCTTTTAACCTTTTTCTAAGCAAGTACAGGTCAATTAGTGCCATATTCACATTGCTTACTTCTCCATTTAAGGACAAATTGGAGAAATGTGCATATGCTGTTAGGCAAATAGAATTCCATTTCAGTTTGCGTCACTCTTGACAATAATAATTACACTTAAAGGACATGCAAAGCTAATTATTTTTCTAAGATGATCATCTATTTTCCAAATCCCCTAGTCTGTAATTTCTATAAAAGATCAACAACAAAAAAAAACCTACTTCACCCTAAAATTTTGACATTGCTCTGAATTTTAAATTATAAAACATGATAGTTAATGACATTTGCAAGAACATATAGCATTGAACACATTTGTTTTGCAGCCTCTGTTTTAATTTGTGCCATTACAGGAATAATTTGCTCATTAGATATGATTCGTGTTGGTATTGAGTTTCGATTCCTGACAGACACATGAGTTGAAAGGGATCTATGTACTCATCTTCTTTTAGGCCACACTTTTTCTCTCTGGGCTCCTCTTAGTAATTCATGAAAGGTCTAATTTTAACAAATACAACATGGATCATTAATGCTTCTCAGTGCCTCCCAGAACTAGTTCTGTTCACTTTAGATTATAATGTTCTCCACAGATTTTGGTTACCTGGATCAATAAAGCTAAAAATACATGCCAAATATCAAATTATTAAGTACTAATATACAGGAAGGTAACAAAGATCAGCTGTCAGTGTTGCTGCTAGTAGATGGGAAGGAGAGGCTAAAGGCGTGTGTTACACAGTGTCAGTCACTTGAGTGTTGTAGCCATCAGCAGAAGGAGATCATCCAGTATTTCCTTCTCCCCTAGAGGGAAAAGAAAACACAGTGTTCCATAAATGTTGCATGTCCTACATATCGATCTTGATGTTTTCTGGACAAAATGAAGGATCATTAGTTGCTTGCCTGCCTAACCCAGACGTTTCTTTGTCCTGTAATGAATTGCACAGCAATGTTGTACAGCCCCAAAGCGTTCCATTTTCAAATCTTTGGCAAAAGCAAAGGGCAAGTTCCCAGACACTTCAGGGATCTGTAGGGCATAAACTTGAAAGGCTCACTTTCAAAGAGACCCCAGAGCAGAGTGATACACCATGCGAAAAAGGCTCCCACATGTAAGGACATGTATCGATGAACAGAACATGCAGGCCGGTTTGTAAGAAAATAAATCAAGTTTTGCTCTCAAATTACAGTTTTGCCTGTAAGCACATGCTTCTATCAGTAGAGAAGTCTTTCCGGAAGAAAATGGAATAACACACTTTTGGCATGATTTTCTTACTCTTTAGATAATTGTTTCTCATCCCAATTAAACTCCAAAAAGTAGGGAAAGGTTGAAAGGGAGCTCACCACTTTATGAGATCTTTTAAATTTTAACAGGTATTGTGATCAACAGAAATTTGGACAAATAATTAAGTCCCTGAAGAACCATATTTTTCTAATAAATAAAATAAAACTCATGTGCCTTCTTGAGGCTTTGACATAGTAATTTTACATTGTGTGTTGATGTAAATAAAAATGTGTATGATTGTGGGTATATGAGGATACTTAAAAACATCTGTGGAAAAATAAAAATAAAAGATAATACATATCTTTTCATGAACATTTGAAGTACCTATATGAATACTTTGTAGGCACAGGAAAGGGAAAATATTTATAATATGACAACATGATTTTTTTTAAAAAATGACAAAAAGAAATGTTTAAATTTAACTTTCTTCCCAGAGTAAAATATTGACAACATATTTAAATATAACTTGTGTTAAAAACCATAGTTCAGGCTGGCCCGGTGGCGCACTGG